TGGAAAACAAAGATAAATAAAACGTTACTATACAAACTTATGTTGTAATTATAGTTTGTTCTTTGGAAAACAAAGATAAGTAAACCGTTACTATACAAACTTATGTTGTAATTATAGTTTGTTTCTTTGCATAATAATTGTTTTTATACTTTCTACAGTTTTAGTACACAAGGTACATAAAAGGGCCTAAAGCTCCGTATTTGTGGGTCACCTAAAATTTAGAGACCTGGCTTGGGTATGTATACATACAAGTTTAATCTAAAAACCATGTATTTCACATACACCATACCAACTTACACTTACAGATATTTATAAATTATAACTTGAAATCATGTCGTGTTTCTTACATGTACAGTGCTATATAACTTATACCCCAATTCAAATATACGTTTATAATGTATAATCATATCATTGGTTAGTATTCATAAATATAAATACGCTAAATTCTCTACCCAGATAACAGAAGTTTTCTACAATGCACACCAAAGAAGAAAATGGTATTTCTATTATAGTATAATGTACTATTGGCACGAAATTTCCACATTTATTTTGTCTGGGAGTGAGATAGATATTAGTATTATTTCTAAATATGGAAATTAACAGTAGAAATCCTTCAGTAACCTCGATTGTTGCTTAATAATGTCCGCCATTCCTCCTTTGTCGAAAATAAAAGCTGCTATAGCCAGATCTGTAGTTAAGTCAATAGTCGGACATAATTATGTGAGTTTGTTTGTTGAATTTCGCGCAAAACTACACGAGCGCCATCTGGGCTATCCGTATCTAATTTGAAATAGAAAGAAGACTACTAGTCAACAGCACCCATCATCAACTCTTAAAATACTCTTATCAGACCAAATAGTTGGATGTGACTGTCACTCTTTTATCGCATCCATTTCTCAAAGTGCGGAGCGCGATTTGTTTTTGTTCTGCGGTAACGGAACGCAAACGCTCAAACTTCAAATTCATAATCCAGCCCGCTAACAAGTGTGCTGCGCTCGGCTAACAAACATAATTAGAAAGACAGATTATGTTCGAACACTTCACTAGGTCACGGTTAACTGAAGGTTACTTGGTTTAATTAACAGTTCGCTGCTCACATTACAAAAGCTAGCAACGTTTTGGGCGCTTCATATAATCCAATTACTTTTAAATTTGCTCAATCTCTCAATGCCCATCTGTTCACTTGAATTTCCTTAGTGAGTTAATGAGACTTAAAGCCACGATAAGCGTGGAAAGCTCATGCTTTTTTTGTTAAGACTGACTACAAAAGCGTAACGAGTGATGGGGCGGGGTTGCTTAGGACAGGATGCTTGCTCCTTGCTCGTGCGCACGCGACCACAGCATGTCCATTACATGGGGTGGGCACGAGCTCGGCCGCCGAGAACGCAACCAACCATGGAATAAGTGTCGTAAGGCCCCGGTACCTATTTACTCTCTTCTGACCGAGCGTAGTTCCTAATAAGTAAACTTTAATCGATCGTTAGAAAAAGAATGTTTTAGACGCTCAAGAATCCAAGGTTTAAGAGCATACAACAAAACAGTTAACGGAAAGCTTTGGAAAAAACAAAACAAAGAGAAAAGTAAAGTGGAGAAGTTAGAAAGCGAACTGTTTATAATAAACTACATAAAATACTGGAAAAATTTACTGTCAAGGAGAATGGAGTAACAGATTTTTAGTCGATAATATACAGTTTGGGAGACATATAAATAACTAGCGTTGGGATAAACAAGGAAACGTTGCAAGTATAACAGCCAAGAAAACGTTGATAGCTGATAGAATGCACTTGGGGATCTATCAAAACTAAATAGTTGAAAATACTGAAAAACAAAAAATCGCTAAACGAACGACCAAAGAAAAAGTTGAGAGCTAACAGAATGCTGGGGAATCTATGGAGAATAAACGGAGAAGAGAAGTGAGAAAGGAAGGATCCAGAAAGATTTGTTATCGTAAAGTTGGCCGATTACAACGGAAAGATCTATAGTGTTGCTAGAATTAACCAAAGATCACCAAACTACGAGAATTTACGTAGCCGTTTTTAGCGCGGATACATGTGTTAGACACACGTCGACTGGGCATAAGGTTGAAGACTAAGACATGAATTCGTTTGTAGTTAAACACAAAGCTACACGATGGGCTATCTGTGCTGTGGCCACCACGAGTGTCGAAACCCGAATTTTAGCGTTATAAGTCCATAGACAGTAGTATAGTGGGCTGTTAATGTAATATACCTTCTCGTCTCCCTGAAAACTGATCTTGATGTTATTGCTTTGTGTTTTATAACTTTTTAACAAAAAGAGACAGAGTTAAGTATACATGTACAGCGTTTTGTATTACGTTCAAACATTTTTTATGCTTAACTTTCAAAGGTTACATCTGTCAGCAGTAAAATAAATAGAAAATTCCAAAACTACATAAATGTAACTTTAGATGTTATAACTCCAGAAAAGTCTCTCTAGAAGTAAAATGGAACATTTCCCTCCGAGGACACAAAAAATACAAATCCTCTCTGCAGGACATTGAAAACCACGACGACTCTTGGAATGATCTGAAAAAATTAAACTTGAACAAGTATATTTTGAAACTTATCAACAAGTATGATGGTTTAAAAGTCAATGGATAAATACATAAAGATTTTTTTCTGGATCATAGTGCCAAGAATAACTAGACAAGAAAAAGTTTTAATTCGTGAACGGATTTTTCACCTCAATAAGGGTGATGATGAGTATGAAGAGGGGTGGAGGGCAACACGTGTAGTGGTCAGCGTAGTATTTCCGGTCTCGTTCGTCCGAGAGAAACTCGTGAGCTATAGCTCTGACCATCCTGTAGAAGAGTCCCAGCTCCCGAGCAAGCAAGTGAAAATCGTTCTCACTCCAGACCTCCCTGTCTCGGTGATGGACGGCGATTTTAAAACTTCGGGTCCGCTTTCCACTCATCTAAGTACAAAAATATGTGGAGTTAATAAAGATATTTGTTAATCCTCAAGGAAAAGTGACTTAAAATCAAAGACAAACATTCTCAAATACATTTGCAAACTTTAAGCACTAACAACAATTGTTCGAAGAAAAACAAAGCGACTACAACAGGCAATAGATCTTCAATTAGTTCTGACAGAAAAACCCTGAATATAACTAGCAGACACAACACATCTTCAGTTAGAGCTGACAGAAAGATTGAATATAACTAGCAGACACAATACATCTTCAATTAGAGCTGACAGAAAGACTCAATATAACTAGC